GTGCTGTGGGCCGGTGAGCGGGCCGAGGGCCGTGCTGTGGGCCGGTGGGGGGGCGGGGGGGGGGGGGGGGGGGGGTCCCCTGGGGGGGTGGGGCGGTGCTGGTCCGGACTCAGCTGCTGAGCCTCTGTGTCCCCCCAGGGTCCCCGCAGGAGGATCCAGGGTTCGAGCTCCGAGTGCAGGAATCGGTGACGGTGCAGGAGGGTCTGTGTGTCCACGTGCCCTGCTCCTTCTCCTACCCCGGGGTCGGCGGGAGCAACTCTACACCCGCTTACGGCTCCTGGTACCGGATAAAGAATCCCAAAGTGGGAGTTCTCATGGCCACGAACAACCCAGCCAGAGAAGCAAAGAGGAAAAACAAATTTCCATTCCACCTTCCCGGAGATCCTGGGGCTGGCAACTGCTCCCTGAGCATCACGGATGCCCAGAGGGGACACGGTGGAAACTATTATTTTCACCTGGACAGAGGTCTCATGAGACACACTTACAAGAGTAACAGGCTCACTGTGCATGTGAGAGGTAGGGAGGGTCCCCAAGAGTCAGTCACGGGGGGGGGGCATGTCCTCAAGGGCAGAAATGGACCCTCTGCTGCTCATCTTTAATGGGGAGAATGGAGCATGGTCCGTTCAACATTGGGGTGAACCCAGCCTGTTTCAGAGGCACACATGGGGGTCCCCTCTGGGGTCCGGCCTCTCCTTCTCTCCTCTCCAGCACTGACACAGACCCCGGATATCCGGGTCAAGGAGCCCCTGGAGTCTGGCTGCCCCAGCCACCTGACATGCTCTGTGCCAGGGGCCTGTGATGGGGCGATGCCCCTCACCATCTCCTGGACAGGGGCTGCCCTCAGAGCCCCAGAATTGGACTTGGAGGCCTCTAACTCCTCGGAGATCCTGCTCATACCCCGCCCTCAGGACCACGGAACCAACCTCACCTGTCGGGTGACCTTCCCCAGGGTTGGCGTGAGCACCCAAAGCACCATTACGCTCAACGTCTCCTGTGCGTGCAGGGCCTGGACTCGGGTGCTTGCAGGGAAGGTTGGGGGGTGCTCAGAGGGGCTGCAGGGAGGACACAGGACTTGTCTGTGTCAATTCCCATTCCTGTGTCTCCTGGGGGTGGGTGGCAGGGGAAGGGCCAGCTCCGACCCCATTAGTCACTGTGTCTCTCTGTCCCAGATGCCCCACAGAACCTGAGCATTGGCATCTGTCAAGGAAATTGCACAGGTAGGTCCGGAGGCCCCCTCCCTAAGGCTGGATGGGAGCAGATCCCCTCAAGAGAGCAGAGCCTGGGGCTCGAAGCCAAGCCGGGAGGACCAGGGTACACACAGGGAGAGCAGAGTCAGGAGCCCCCCCCGCCCCCGTCACTGCGTGACAGATGATCTCTGCTTACTATTCAGTATATGTAAAGACTATTTGTCACATACATGCAAGTTACAAAGAATCACCATCGAATGAACACCTTGTTACTCACCAACCAGGTTAAGAAATAGAACAGGTGCACCTGGCTGGCTTGGTTTGTGGTGCATGCGACTCTTGATCTTAGGGTCATGAGTTTGAGCCCTGCGTTGGGCGTAGAGCCTACTTAAAAAAAAAAAAAAAAAAAAAGAACAGCAACTCCGCCTTTGGAACACCCTAAATGCTCCTTCCCAATTTCAGCCCCTTCCATCTGGCCTCACAGAAAGCCACTACACTGGACGCTGTGTTACCATCCTTTCTCTATATTTTATTTTTGATGAAGGTATAATTGATGAATAAACTGTATATATTTAAAGTGTATAACGTGATGATTTCATATATGTAGATTTGATATACGTTTACACTGCTAAAGGATGCACACAATCCAGTTAATTAACACATCCATGTATCTTCTATTTTCTTATAATTTTCCGAAATACATGTCTGCCTTCTTCCACTCAGCATGACGTGATCAAGGTTCATCCTTGTTGTAGCACAGGTCAGCGGTTCACTCGTTAGGCTGAATATTATTCCGTTGTATGGAGAGACCATCATCCATCCATCCATCCGTCATCCTCGGATGGACATTTGGATTGTTTCCACCTTGGGGCTCCTGTCAACAGGGCTGCTCTGAACATTTCCCTACAAGGATGTGCTTGACTCCCTGCTTCAAGATCTTTCAGATCTACTCCTAGGAGTGGATTTGTGGGGTCATGACCCCCTATTCTGATGTGGCACCACCTCATGTTCTTGACATTCATCTGTGTTGCTTGTGGCTGTAATTTCTGCCTCTCCTTGTCTGTAGGTATCACATGTTAGTTTCACATTCCACTCTTTTAAGATTTTTATTCATTTGACAGACAGGGAGAGAGCGAGTGCACACAAGCAGGGGGAGCAGTGGAGGGAGAGGGAGAAGCAGGCCCCCAGTGAGCAAGGAGCCCAATGCGGGGCTCGATCCCAGGACTCCAGGATCATGACCTGAGCCGAAGGCAGATGCTTAACCGACTGAGCCACCCAGGTGCCCCTCACATTCCACTCTTGATGGGCACTTGAGTTGTCCACAAATTTTAGTTTTCATGATGATGCCGCTTCAAACATTCCCCTCGTGAACAGAAGAGTGTTTCCCTAGGCCATACCTCACAAGCCCTGTTGAGCACACAGGTTTCTCAACCATCTTGTGACAATGCAGATGTGACTCAGGCGGCCCGAGGGGCCTCTGGTTCTGCATTTTTCTTTTTTAAAGATTTTATTTATTTTTTGACAGACAGTGAGAGAGGGAACACAAGCAGGGTAAGTGGGAGAGGGAGAAGCAGGCTTCCCGATGAGCAGGGAGCCCGATGTGGGGCTCGATCCCAGGACCCTGGGATCATGACCTGAGCCGAAGGCAGATGCTTAACTGAACCACCCAGGCACCCCTGGTTCTGCATTTCTAACCAGCTCCTGGAGGGTGCCAGTGCTCTGAGGGCTGGGACTGTACATTTTATGCCCAGGAACAAAACTGTGGGGTCTGGGGGATGTATATTTTCAATGCTCCTAGATAAGGCTGTCATAGAATAGTTCTGGAAGGCCACACAAGAAACGGCAATCAATGTTGCTTTTGAGGACGGGGGTTTGTTGCCTGGGGAGTCAGCATGGAAGGGAGACTCTGCTCTGAACTCCCCTTCTTCCTCTGTGAATTTTAGAATGCACAATGTGGATGCCCTACTTATCCTGAGACAAGGGGGAAGGCAGGGGGAAGGAGTTGAAGAGGTAGAGGTCACGTCCTGAAGAGCCTTGAAGTGTTTGGTACTTGACTTTTGGATACTCGAGTAAGGGGTGTTCAGCATTTCAGAACAGATAAGGAGAAGTGTAGTTGAGAATGTTCGCCTCGGGGCGCCTGGGTGGCTCAGTCGTTAAGCGTCTGCCTTCGGCTCAGGTCATGGTCCCAGGGTCCTGGGTTCGAGCCCCTCATTGGGCTCCCTGCTCAGTGGGGAGACTGCTTCTCCCTCTCCTGTTCCCCCTGCTTGTGCACACACTCTCTCTGTCAATAAATAAACAAAATCTTAAAAAAAAAAAAAAGAATGCTCACCTTGAAGAAGTCAGTGTCCATCAGTGGATGGATAAGCACAACGCAGTCTGTCCGTGCGATGAACATGATTCTGCATGAACACGAGCGAAGCCCCAGCAGGCGCCACAAGATGGGAGAACCTTGGAAATGTCATGCGACGCAAAAGGAGCCAGACACAAAAGGCCACGTGGAGCATGATTCTATTTACAGGCAATGTCCAGAATAGACAGATCCATAGAGACATAATAAAGTAGGTTAGGGGTTGCCGGGGGCTCGGGGCTTGGGGGTTGGGAGGAAGGGGGGAGGCAGCTGGGGGGTACAGGGTTGTTTCTGGGGGGTGACGAAAATGTTCTAAAATTGATAGTGGTGATGGTTACCCCACGACTCCCTATAAGTGGTGTGTAAATGGAATTGTCTGGTATGTGAGTTATATCACTATAAAGCTGCTTGCAAGACTACTCGTGGAGACCCCTTCCCAACTTAGAGGAAATGGAGAGGAGAGAGTGAAATAGGATCCAGGCTTCAGAGCCTCCGGCCTGGACTCAGAGTGCGCATTTTCTCTCCTCCCCCGCAGAACTGAAATACCCGGGGAATGGCTCGTCTCTTCCAGTCCTTGAAGGGGAGTCTCTGCTCCTGGTCTGTGCTGCTGACAGCAATCCTCCCGCCACACTGAGCTGGGCCCAGGGGAGCCGGACTCTGGGCCCCTCCCAGCCCTGGGAGCCGGGGGTCCTGGAGCTGCCCCGAGTGCAGCTGGGCCACGGAAGCAAATTCACCTGCCAAGCTCAGAACCCGCTGGGCTCCCAGCACGTCTCCCTGCGTCTCTCTGTGGTCTGTGAGTGTGGGGACCCCTGGGGGCTGACTGCCCGGGGCCTGGGGAGGAGAGACACCGCTGACCCCTCCCCTCCCTCCCGCAGACCCCCCGCGGCTGCTCAGCCCCTCCTGCTCCTGGGAGGGCGAGGGGCTGCACTGCAGCTGTTCCTCCCGAGCCCAGCCGGCCCCGACCCTGCGCTGGCGGCTGGGGGAGGGGCTGCTGGAGGGGAACCACAGCAACGCCTCCTGGACCATCACCTCCAGCTCTGCGGGGCCCTGGGCCAACAGCTCCCTGAGCCTCAGCGGGCCGCTGGGCTCCGGCCTCAGACTCAGCTGCGAGGCCCGGAACGCCCACGGGTCCCAGAGCGCCGCCTTCCTGCTGCTGCCAGGTCCGGGGGCTGTCGGGGGCCGAGGTGTAGGGGAAGGGAGTCTGGGTCCTAGAAAAGATGGTCTGGGTGGGGCTGGGGCCTGCAGGGGAAGGGGTGAGAGAGAGGAAGTGTGTGTGGGGGGGGCAGAATCCTGGTTTTCTGCTGGTCGGGGGCTGAAGAACTGAGAGCCTTGGGAAGAGGGAGCACCAGGGTCCTGGGGCTCGGAGGGAACTCACCCGAAACCCCACTCACCTGCAGGGAAGCCTGAGCTTGGGGGAGGATTCGTTCTGGGGACTGTCGGGGGCGCTGGTGTCGCTGGCCTGCTCAGTCTCTGTCCCTGCCTCATCTTTTTCATGTGAGTGTTGCCCCTGGGAGAAAGGGTGAGTGTGTGGGGCGGAAGGGGTCTGAGCCCTGGGGTCCTGGGCAGCCCCGGCCGGAGGAGCCTGGATGGCGCCCAGGCCCTGAGAACTGGGGATCCCAGCCATGCCCATTCTCACAAGTCGACAGGCTCTGTACGTCCCCTGTCAGCCTCTTAAGCCTGGGACGGTAGTGAGTCAGCTGGGCGGCTGACGGGTCCTGGCCTCCCCCTCAGGGTGAAGATCTGCAGGAAGCAGGCACCGGAGCCTGCAGCTGGTGGGAAGGATGCCGCCTGCACGTTGGGTCCCCTCTCCCAGGTGAGTGATGAGTCCTCTGTCCATCAGGATGCCATCTAGCCACCACCCCGGGATGGCCACGGCCGCACCCCTCTAGATGACTTAGATGGTCGTCATGCCCCAGACTTTTGTTCCCAGGTCCCCATGGACTCAGTCACCCAGGCCAGCGACCTGGGAGTCCCTCTCCCCTCTGCTCTCTGACGTCTTGCAGAGCTAAGGACCACTCACGTCTGTCCATCTTCCTGTGTTCACCTGGACCCTCCCCTACCCCCGCCTCCTCATCCCTTCCTGGACCCCAGACCCATTTTCCCCTCCTTCCTCTCTCTCCTCCCCCACACAGGATGCTAGAGGGATCACCCCAAAATGACAGAGTTCAGGGGCCCCCCAAAAGACACTCTCAGGTTCAAGAGCTCACCAGAAGGACTCACAGAACTCACTGGGATCTGTTATGTTCGTGGTTAGGTTATTACAGGGAGAGGACACAGATTACAGCAGCCAAGGGGAGAGCCACCTGGACTCTGCCCAGGGGCGTTCCGTGCACGAACCTTCCAGGTCTCTCTCCCGGCAGAGTCCCATAGACATCGCTGATTTTTCCCAGCCCCGGTGTGTGATAAGAGGTGGAGGGCAGTGCTGTTGCCACCAGAGAAGCTCACCCTAGCCTTGTCTCCTGGGTTTCTACTGGGGGTTGGTCACGTGGGTATGGAGCACGTGTATGTCTGACCTTTGTTACCCGGTCTCCAGCCCCTCTAGAGGTCAAGCTGATACTGTGTGGCCCAAGGCCCCAGGCGAACAGAGACGTACGCATCAGGAAGGACCTTCCATTGGCTTAGAGGTCCCCTCCCAGTGCTGGGGCAAAGGGTCAAACCTTTCTTTGGGCATGATGAGCCATTTACTGCGCAGTATCTTTTGCTTTTAGAGGTTCATGGTATCATTTTGTGATTGTGTTTGCCTGAACTTCTGATTCTGAAATGCTGAGTGGTCCCTGAGGGCAATTCAGTTCTGAGCAAATCCCTGTCCTTCTCACACCACCCACCCCATTCCTGAGCATCCTATCACAATCTGCTATTAGATAGTAATATAATTGACTACTACCGTAATGTCAGCTTCCCCCAGTGCGAGCTAGCTGGAGGTATTGGATGATGTCTGCTTTGTTCCCCACCAAAGAGCCAGGGCCTGGCACGGGTCAGCTGTTCCAGAAAGTGGCAGACACTGGGGCCAGACAGACCTGGGTGCTAATCTTGGCCCTACCAACAACTCAGCGTGTGATTTTGGGATATTTACTCAGCCTCAGTTTCTCCACCTGATAAATGGGGATAATTGTGTCTCCCTAATGGTTTGTTGTGAGGACTCTAGGAGTCTGGCAATTGATTACCAAGGACCAGGCATTATTATTCTCAAATACTTATTGAAATGAATGAATGAATGAATGAATGAGTGAATAGGGGCGCAGCCAATGTTTGCAGGATGAATAGATGAAAGACTAAGTGCTCAGTTTCTAGGTCTGCATGTGGATCCTCTTTGCTATCTGCCAGCTCCCATTACCCTAATTGGACCCCCTTCTTTGCTTCCACTCGGGGTTACCAGCCCGAGTATCCGTCAGATATCCCCTTAGCCTGCCTGCCCCCAGCCATGGCTGCCCCCACCTTGGAGGAGGACCAGGAGCTCCATTACGCCTCCCTCACCTTCCATGGGCTGAGGCCCTGGACGCCTCAGGACCCTGAGGGCCTCAGCACCACCAAGTATTCAGAGATCAAGATCTGCAAGTGATGACCCCAGACTCCAGCGAGCTCCCACGACCTCTGGGTAGAGGGCCCAGGGCTTCTCAGGAAGGGAGACATCGGGGGACAATTCCTCAGAGAATAGTTTGCCGTGGACACGGGTTACCAACTAGTGAGTGGGCATCCCACTGGTGTGGTGATGGGCAGAACGGGGCTCAAATTTCAGCCCGGCCCCAATTACAAGCCCGAGTTCGAGCAAGTCACGTTACTTCTCAGCCTCCCCCTCTGTAAAGCGGACGCAATAAACCTGACTCACAGGGTTGTGGTGGGGCGTCAAGGTGGCAGTGAACACGAAGGGCCCAACAAGGGTGCAGGTGCGGAGAGCACCTTGCCCGAGCTCACGCCTCTTCCCAGGGCAGCCCACCTGGTGTAAGGGTCTGCTCTGGCGGGGACATTCTGCAGGGATGTTCTAGCTCCAGAGGCCCCACCCCCACCCCCCAGGATCCCTGACCCCTGGGGTGCTTCCTCAGGAACACTCTGAGCCTGCTTCCTGGAAACCCAACTTGTGTATTTTCACCACACAGAAAATCATTCATGGCTTTTCTGAAATAAACGACAGGTTATCTAAATTCTATACCATTTTCTTTATACGTCCCGGATGATTTTGTTCTCCTCAACAGTGTCTTCTTTTTGTAGAACTGGCTTATAAAACTCCTTGCAGTTATGGTCTGTGTCCCATTAACATTGCAATATGGTGTTAACCTTAAAGTAAAAACCGCCAGCTCCTTTACCAGCAAAAATGGATCTACTGGGTGAATAAACGAGAGCTTGTGCAACAAAAAAAGTGCCTGCCCCCAAACCATAGGCAAGTCTGAGGATCAAAACAGAAGAACGTATTTATGGAGAAAAGGGGCAAATGGGGAAGGCTGTTATAAACTAAAAGTCCATTGGAGTAAACTGGGAGTTGGAAGTATTCTGGCTTCTCATTTGGGTCTGCAATTGACTATGCGTGGTAGGACATCAGAGCGCTCCCTGCCGAACCCACCCACTTCATTTCAGCGTGGGTTTCTTGTTAACTAATTTTCACTGTAGTTTTTGCAGTGATCACATCCAGTTTATTCCTTTTTTCCTTTGAATGTCCATTTACTTTTTTTTCGATTGTGTGCATTAATGAGAAAACGCGCTCAACCTTAGCATCAGGACCCAATATAGTGTCGAGGGGCGCCTGGCTGGGTTAGTCGGTGGAGTGAGTGACTCTTGAACTCGGGTGTGTGGGTTCGAGCCCCACACTGGGTGTAGAGATTACTTAAAAATAAAAATCTTTAAACAAAATTTCAGTGTGCCAAATTCCATCTTTCACAGCACAATTCGCTTTGCCCTTCTTCAGGATTATGCTGCATCACCTGATCGACATTGCTTTTTTAAAAGTGGTGTCTACTGACAAAATAGAAGCATTTTTCTCATTTCTTATTCCCTTCTTCAACACTGATTCCATTTGTTCCCATGCAGGTATTTAGTGACGTTCATGTAAAAGAATAAAATTCTTCAGGGATTAAAACCGTTTTGGAAAGGTCATCATGGAAAGGCTGCAGTAACTATCCACTTCAAATCAGAAATTCTCTTTCTGTTCTAAGTATAGCCTTGATAGGGGCGCCTGGGTGGCTCAGTTGGTTAAGGGTCTGCCTTCAGCTCAGGTTGTGATCTTGGGGTCCTGGGTTGGAGCCCCTTATCGGGCTCTCTGCTGAGCAAGGAGTCTGCTTCTCCCTCTCCCTCTGTGCTCACTGGTGCTCTCTCTCTCTCAAATAAAAAAATCTTAAAAAAAATAGCCTTGATCCATAAAGAGATAAAATTTTCATCAATTCTTTCTTTAACATATTCAAGAAGTGTGTGTGTGTGTGTGTGTGTGTGTGTGTGTGTGTGTGTGTTTTAAGACTGACTGACTTTGAGACAGAGAATGAGCAGGAGGGGCAGAGGGAGAGGGAGAGGGAGAGAGAGAATCTCAAGCAGACTCCATACTGAGTGCAGAGCCTGACCTGGGGCACCATCTCACCACCCCGAGATCACAACTTGAGCCGAAACCAAGAGTGGGGACGCTTAACACAGAGCACTTAACGCTGTTCTCTGTTCTTTCAATTTGCATAATTCTATTGCTAAACAGATATTGGAAATTAAAAGTAAAAAAAATAAAATAAAAATAGGCTTCCCAACATGGATTACTTTATTTTTTAAAGATTTTATTTTTATTTTTAAAAAAGATTTTATTTTAAAGTAATCTCTACACCCAGCATGAGGCTTGAGCTCACAACCCCGAGATCAAGAGTCACACGCTCCACCAACTGAGCCAGCCAGGCGTCCCCGTGGCTTATTTTAAACATCAAGAATTTGGGCGGCTTTTCTTCAGAATGAAAATATAATTCAGCACTTCAAATAAACAAACTGAGGATTTTCTCAACTTTGTTAAAGAGTATTTTCTTCAGAATGAAAATATAATTCAGCACCTCAGATAAACAAACAGGATTTTCTCAACTTTAGTTGTTAAAGAGTGCTACTGGGGGGTTTTGAATGAGAGAGAATTGAAAAATACTGCTTGCCAGCAAATCGCGACAATCCTTTGATCCCTCATTTGCAACAGCACAAAGGGTAAGAAAGGTTTCCCGACACTTCAGTGTCAGTACAAGAGCCCACAAGGCTGTTTGAGCGGCATTGTGTAGAAAGGCAGGGCAGCCAACGCCTCCCACAGAATCCTGCTCTGAATAAATATTGTCTACATCTTCCACAAACAGCCAGCAAAATTTATATTTGTAGTATCTCCCATCAAAAGCAGTAAAATTCTTCCTGTTTACTGCCAACTCATTGTGAAAAATAGGACAACAGTCCCAACATGGAGTTGCTTATGCTAAGCCCCACGTCCCCAAACCCAGGCATACGGTTTCGGCTCTCTCATATGCGGAATCTGAGTCACTCAGGAATCGCCCTGATTGGCACACGTCAGATAATCTGCCTGACAGACCCCTGAAGGAAAGCAACCTTGCAACAAGCAACCTGTTTTTTGGCCTCCTGTAACTTCCTTGCTCCTGCCCCCTTCGGCCCATAGAAGTCTTTCACTTCGTCCAGCTTGCTGGAGCACCTTTCTCTTTGCTCCATTGGATGCTGCCCAATTCATGAATCATGGACTAGAGCCAATAAGATCGTTAAACTTTGCTTGGTGGAGTTTTGTTTTTTTAACCTCAGTAAGGGAGTCTCCGTGAACATTTGCTATTGTTTCTGGGGTCTCATCTGGAAGGGATTCTACTTGTACAAGTCTTAGAAACAAGCTTTGATCACAAGAATAGTATTTCAGAAGTCAGGGGAAATGATTTTGTCCTTCCCAGCTGCTTACTGGGGGCCCCTCTTGGAGACATACCACATACCTGCATTTACTGAAGGCTCACAGGTGTCCTGTAGTAAAAATTATTTTACTTTTTTAAGATTTTATTTATTTATTTGAGAGAGTGAGAGAGAGGAGGAGCAGAGGGAGAGGAAGAAGCAGACTCTCCGCGGAGCAGGGAGCCTGATGGCGGGGCTCGATCCCAGGACCCCGGGATCATGACCTGAACTGAAGGCAGGTGCTTAACCGACTGAGACACCCAGGCAACCTGTAGTAAAAGTTATTAAAAAACAAACAAACAACCCCCCCCCCAAAACCCACCACCAGCCCCTGCACCATGAACATCTGATTAACTTTGGGCCAGAGTTTCACTTGGGGGCGGAGGCGAGGTGGAGAGGACAAATGGGTTCCAGCCACCCTCCACCACAGGGTGGCATGCGAGTCATTCCCACTCCCTTGGGCCAGGGGGTGCTCCTCTAATGCAGATGACAACACCGTCCTCTTGCAGAGGTCGGGGGACAGGATGCCAAGACACACAAGGTCCAGAACCTGGGCTCTGCAGACAGACAAAAGCGGGTTCGGAGGCAGAGGGAAACTGTTTACACTCTCCCTGCTCTGCCTGGTTGTGCGATTCTCCTGCTGCCTGAGCAACGCTGAGTCCCAGATGACTGCTAGCTCAGAGATGAGGGCAGAGGGCAGAGGGCAGAGGGGCTGTGGGCCAGTGCACCACGTGGCAGGGGGATGGGAGGGCCAGATGTTGACACTGTGACCATCCCGTGACCTGATACGGGGCCCTGAAGGGCAGCTGACGTCCCTATTCTTTTGTGGACAGACTCTTTAAGCAGGAGATTTTCAGGTGGGTTTTCTCTCTCATTGAGAAACATCCCCTTCTGGAAAGCTCTATACACATCTGCTTTCAAGTAGGAAATGATCATCAGTCTGCTAATCTAGCCTGCGTCCCCTGAGCAGGCAAGAATCGGGGAGAATCAGAGCAAGTTCTTCCCCGACCCGGCCTCTGACCTCCCCGATGCCAAAGTAATGGTGGATGAGGGGCGCCTGGGTGGCTCAGATGGTTAAGTGTCTGCCTTTAGCTCAGGTCATGATCCCAGGGTCCTGGGATCGAGCCCCACACTGGGCTCCCTGGTTGGCGGGGAGCCTGCTTCTCCCTCTCCCTCTACTGTTCCCCCTGCTTGTGCTCTCTCACTCTCTCTTCAAATAAATAAATAAAATCCTTAAAAAAGAAAAAGTAATGGTGGATGATTCCAGATCCTCAAGAGCAAATCTTGGAGGTGAATGTATCCCTCTGTTCTGAATCCCTTCCAGTCTAGTCACTGACCACACACTGCTGGTTGAGCTGCCTCCAAAATCTCTCCACAAGCCCTCCCTTCCTCCAGCCATGGCCACTGCCCAGGCCTCACGCTCCCAGGGGCGGCGGCTGTGCTTGCCTCCTCCACCGTCTCTCTATCCAGGCTCTCTGCAAAGGCGCCTCCCCTCCCTGGGACCCTTGGTCTCCATCACAGCACCGTGCCTCCTCTCCAGTGTGTGGAGCACAACCCAAAGTTGTCTCATTTAATGCCTTCTCCTTCCACTTGACTGGA